TATGGGATATATATTGGTATGCTGGGTGATTAGATATTGGTATGCTGTTTAGATCTTTATCTGGAGAGAGAGAGAGAGAAATGGGGTTTAACATCCATTCGACACAAACTAGATCATTTTGGGACTAACACATGGTTCAATTTTATTTCAATAATTCGCATGCGTGTAGGGGTTTTTAGCAGTGGGAGGAAACCGGAGGATCTGGAGAAAACCCACGAGATTGGACAGACGACACTACTCCTTGTCACATGACAGACCTCATGATACAGTGCGCACATGCTAACCATTCTGCCATACAACCGGGAAATCGAAACCACGCCAGTTGACTCAATGACAGACCTTATGATCCAACGGGCACATGCTAACCATTCGACCACTGATGATGGGTCTCCTAAATTTTATTATACAATGTATTGTACAAAATTATTTAGTCAAATCCAAAGTGAAGCAACATCGGCTTTAGGGGTTTTAGCCCAGGGATTGTTGGCAGCTGAAGATCCTCCAGAGATAATACCAAAAAGTTATTTCATTTGTAAATGATGAATAAAAGCATCAGTAAACTAATTTATCAATTTAAAGGAGGCAAGTCTCTAACTCAATATCATCAACAGTCATCGATATTGAATTTAGTACTTATTGGTCAATTTAAATCAACATTGATGTTGTTATCTAACTGTGAAAAGATGGGCTTGTTATATTTAATATTTAAGACAAAATGAAAATTTTAAAATTGGCACATGAATTGCGTACCAGATTGCTTTCGAGCAGCATTTGTAATGAAGCGACACAATGAACGAGGCTAAACATACCCCACAGGAGAATACTACTGGTGTAAACTGGAATAACCAGACGCCAAAGACTGCCTTTCAATTTCGACTCTTTACATATTTCGCCAAACATTACTGATTAGAAATGACAATAAAAACAGAAACGATTGGATGTAAATCAGTTTATATACATTCATATTACATTATTATATGTGTTGCGACCAATTTGTGTCTATTTCTAGGTGCCAAAGAATAGCGATTTAGCTCCTTTAACAAAAGTGCAAACATACTATGTCAAAGAAACAATGTACTATTTTCTTTATTTGATATGTAGTTCCATTGATGTTGTTGTTGTTATTTATTAAAGATTTAACGTCCAATACATGAAATATGATATCATGGACAGGTTGATTTAATTGAATTATTTACAAATAATGGGTTGAGAATTGGTAGAAACATAAAATAAAAACATCTGTGTATATCAAAAGTCACCTTAAAACTGGTAAAAACATAAAATAAAAAGTCCTTAGTATATTATTATATTAAATCATGCAGCAGGCTGAACCGCCATACTGTCCTACAACAATAGTTCCCTTCGTCGTAACTTGATATGTAGTTCCATTGATATTGTTGTTGTTGTTTATTACAGATTAAACGTCCAATACAATGAATATGATATTATGGACAGGTTGATTTAATTAAATTATTTACACTTGAAAATTGTTAAAAAACACACAAAAAAAAGAAAAAAAAAAGTTCCTCAGATTCCAAAGTTTCTTAAAGCACACTTATAGATTCGCTGTCGTGAGAAGAGAGGGCGGGTCATCTTCTCCCTTTCATTCGTTCGTTCGTTTGTTTCTGGAGTTTAACGTCCACTTCCACCTAGGGTGATATCGTAGACAAAGATGTTTCCTAAGAAACTTGCTGCAGGAAGCCGTAGGGATTAGGCTTGGTCCAGTTTAATTTGAGACATAGTCTCTAGTCTCTTAGCAGGGAATGCCCAAGTTAAAAATCTCATCGAAAGGACAGGAGAAAGTTTTGGGGTAGAAAAGGAAGGATGGTCGAGCGGGCGCAATCTGGCCCGCTTGGCCATTAATGCTACAATCGTTATTTGGGTAAGTAGGTTGGTCTGACGGTCAGTCGGGCCCGCCGCCTGTCCGACCTAGATATAGGGTGCATAGATGCTCTGACCTTTTTGGTCGGTAGGACTGTCAGCCGGGCCCCATTGATGTTCATTTATATATCTTAAATGTCTTTATGTAAGAGTTCTCACCAATCATCTTTTAATCATTTACTTGTAGCAGTATAATGATAATATAGTCATTAATCCCTGTATTAATTCTTTCCTTCATTTTAATGTCCAAAGTGTTGTTTTAAAAACTTATTTAAATTTCAATAGCTTTCTTTTAATACAAATTATACACAAAGCCATTAATCTTGGCCACCCAGCCGACTCATTAATAGTTTTAATTGTTATCATAATTCAACCTTCACTCTGTGTAACCAATTAAGCTAGAATTTCATAATTGTTAAATTATGCCATTCAAGGATTAAAGAGACAAAAAAACACCTTTAATTAATTAAAGGATTATAATTTTGCACTGAATAATAACTCATTTTATAAAATCCTAGTAAAAACATTACTGGACAATAGGAACATTTCAGTTATTCAAATAATGTATGTCCACCTGTGATTAATGAGCAAAACGATTGGTCAAATTAGATTGTTGACACCTGTATGATGACATGAGTACAGGTAAAACCCCCCAGGGTAAATCAGGTATATATTCTTGAGTCAATGGTGGGTTGGGAATAACTGCTGATCATATGCCAGAAATAGTTGTTCACATGTCATTTACACATACGAGGAAGAGGAAGTTACAGTTACAAGTTACAGTAACAAGTTTAGAATCTGTGCAGGGGATTAACAGATCTGGGAAAGAGAAACTTTAGTTAACAATTCTCAAGTCTAGTTCCCAGTTTCAAGTTGCGTAGCCATTAACTGTCAGGAAAAAGGAACACTGGTTCCCAGTTTCAAGTTGTGTAGGGATAAACTGGACGGATAAAGGAAACACTGAATTCCCAGTTTCAAGTTGTGTAGCTATAAACTGAACGGGGAAAAAGGACACTGGTTCCCAGTTTCAAGTTGTGTAGGGATTAACTGAACGGAAAAAAGGAACACGGGTTCCCAGTTACAAAATTAAGAACTGTGGGGATTAACTGGGATAGAGTTATAAGTTTAAAAAACGTTTGGAGATTAACTGGACGCCATGTACAAAACAAAACGTGTTAGATTCCTTGGTGTAAGTTTATCAGAATTATATTTTGTCCTTTCTTATAACTTGTTTGTAATTTAATCCTGAAAGTGCATTTTTATGAAATCTGCTAGGTATAGGCCAATTGAGTTACCTAAGGGGACTAAATAAAGGATGTTATCCTATGGGAATGTCAGCCTAGGGTTATCTGAAGAAACTGGATAAAGATGTTATCCTCTGTTAATGTCGGGCCTAGGGTTATCTGATGGAACTGAATCAAGATGTTATGCTATGTTAAACATTATGCAAGAGCTAAACCTGCCTATTGCAGGTCTTTCTTTAGGCTGACATGTTATATAAATTATTAATTAGACATTAATTAACTTATCCAGACCATAATCAACTCTCGATGGCATAGCTAGCCGCTGATGTTTATTGGATTAGGTTCCGATTTGCTGTTCGACTTCCATTCATAATTTAATCATGAAATGGATAATCAAGACTGTTTTTTATCTTATCGACTTTAGTAATGATGATCGAGGCTAGGCTAAATCGCTAAATTCTCAGTTAAGAGTGGATCAATTTGACTGAAATTTTCAGCAAATTGTATTTACATTATCTAGTTTTTAAAGGGCCAATCCCGATAATATTTTGGAGAATAAAACTGCTTAATTTTGTCTTAAAATCCTCTACCTTAGGGCCGAGCAACTAACTCAATATATGTGATTGGTTTTCAAACAACTTAAACCTGTCAGTCTTCATCTGGAAATGAAGACCGGTGTCCCAAGCTGTATTATGCGGTGTCTGGATAAAACCAGACTTTTACTTTGTAACAATAGTGCGTAGGTGAAATTTATCTTTTGTTATCAAGTACAGCACATGGGCCATTCATTGGAATCGATTATCAGGTCACCCACGAAAAGATTGACCTGAAATCTTAAAAGTGTTACCTGTCCGGATAAGCAGTTTTGTCGTTCACGTCCAAACGACTGAATATTTTGAGCTTAAATTTTGAGATAGGGTAAATATACCATTCCTCTATATTTTGGCGCTTAAATTTCATACGTACTCGGACTTTTAGTTTTGAGACTATGTTAAAATCGGGATAGTCCCTTTAACTATTATAGCGAGAACTGCCAGCTCTTTATATATATAATCTCCCATAATGTATCTTTAATGTCATTCAACTTCCAATTCTGAATTAACCTTGTCTTTGTATTTAGTGATAGCATCTGGTGCATTATTATGGGTTTTTTTTGTTTTTATGTTCGATCAGTTATATGCAGTTATCAATGGCATTGTCTCTTTTCAACATTAGTGCTTTGAAGTTTGGAGGCTTTTGGCTGTTGGTAAAAAAAACGCAGTTTTCAATTTGACTTGATTTGACTGCAACATACTTTTGTTATTACTTATCTCTTTAATAGTGCAGCATACATACAATTAAATAGATTTCCTAGTCATGATACAGTATTTATATAATATGAATCATACTTTAAAATACCAGTCCAAAGTAGGACAATATTACTCAATACAGTATTGTTATTGACATTTAGTAACTGAACATATTAAGACAAATTGGTACAATTTTATGGATACACAATTCTTGATAAAGACAAGAGTATACTCTCGAAACGTCGCTTAGTATTAAACTCAGTAATTGTTTGTCTATCAAATTGTACATTGTTTTAATATTAATATACTAATGAATTATTATAAAACTTTATAATTTGTTCAAGTAATTTAAACAATAAGTAGTAAATACTTATCTTTTGTTATTTTCATTTTTTTAAAAAGTTAACCGATTTCTTTGTTGAACTGATTACAGATTTTATATAGTGAACATGTAAAATTGGTATAAAATGAATTGAAACAGGATTTATTTTATGTCCTATTTTAATGGTTAATTATAGACAGTACAGGTAATAATTATAATTTGTATAATTATAAATTAACAGGTGTAATTTTCATTTTTTTTCAGATGTTACCAGAAATTAGAGTATTGAATCCTCGGACACATAATACGTGGGAAGAGGGTCGTTACGCAACTTACGATATTCATATACAGGTATGTCATCATTGTCAGTTTCATTATACGGCTGCACATCTGACTTGATTTAAACAATATTTATTCAAATAGGCCTACATACACTGTCAAAAGGTAAGGATTCAAAAACAAGCCAAAGGCTTATATTAATTCGTCTCCTTATTTAATAAATATACTACAAATACAATTATAATAGGAACACTTCATATACAAAATATATTTAATAGTATGGTATTTTCTATTTACTATTAATCGTGCATGTTAGTCATTTAATACAGGCGTCATATGTCCATCCATCATTTACATATTCATGCTAATACCCATAGAGACCTCATTAATATCTGATGTTTTTGGTGTGACATGCAATGTTTATAATTAGCATGATGCAGGGGTGGATCAAGGAATTTTTGCAGGAGGGGGTTTGTCAGATTCCTGAGACAATGTATCTCTCCCCCCCCCCCCCCTCCCGCATGGTCTCTATCGTCATTTTGGCGTATATACATACACATTGAGCTTCTTAAAAAGAGATATTCAACACCTCGTTTGACATCAATTTTTATTATGAATTAATACAATGTCATTGTGATTCAATTTCATGGATGCAAAGCATTAATTGGGATATCACATAATGTCTATATCATTATCTCGTGCTTTGAGTGCCCATCCTGTCCCAACATCTGATGATAAAGCACACGGCAGAGAAACTTTTCCCATAAAAAGTGTTGATTTACCCAAGAAATTATGTAGCTGAGCAGGTATATTGCTGACACCCCCATCTGTCCGTCGATCCAGTGCTCTATCTGTCCTTCAACCATCCTCCACATTTTCTTGCTAACACGTTTACAATATGTTTAAAATTTATATGGATTGCTTACATTAGTGAGATGTTATTGCTCTTTGTCACAGCAGTTCTCATCCAATCTATTTGAAATTGATATGTACTGTTCAGATTCTTTAAATGAAGAAGCATACCTCCTACTATATTGCCCGAGTCATTACCCTTGTTCAATTTATAGATTCCACGAAAGTCAACAAAACCCTATGTAGCCTATTGTCCATATCATTTGACAGAAGTTTTCATCCAGTCTACTTGAAATTGATATGTATTGTTTAGATTCTTTAAACGAAGAAGCCCAGAGTTATTCCCCTTGTTCATTTTATACACATGAAATTCAGATGAGAACCTATTATTGACCATATTGTGTGAACCTGCTTACAATAAAAAAACACCCAATGTTTTGTAACATTATTTTTCAACATAAAATTTATATTTTGTTTCAGACGGAAAACAATGCTTACAGACTTCAGACATCCTGTAGTGCGAGAAGATACTCTGAATTTTTATGGTTACGGAAAAAATTGAAAACACATCATCCCTCAGTGTAAGTATATCTGATTGGAGAGAGAGAGAGAGATGGGGTTTAACATCCACTCGACACAAACTAGGTCATTTCGGGACTAACACATGGTTCAATTTTATTTCAATAATGCGCTTGCGTGTAGGGTCTTTAGCAGTGGGAGGGAACCAGAATATCTGATTGAATCCTGGATTTTCCGATGACTTTCCCCTTTGTCAGAAGTGGAAGATGGAGGGCAAGGTATAGAACAAAAAGGTGCACGTAAAAGAAACCTTGACAGAATTCGAAAAAAGAGATGGCCGTAGTGCCACTGTCCGGGCAAAATGTCTGGTCACTCGGATGGTCACTCGGATGGTACAAAAAAACCTGATGTTCCGTGTACACTGAGCGTGCATGTAATAGATCCCTTGCCATTTGGAATTTGATACCAGAGTAGGCCGTAGCCCTGCTTTCTGGGAAAAATTACGCTCATAGCACACAGCATGGCGTAAGTCTGTCTTCATTAGCCCAGTCAGAGCAGAACAGTACGACATTATACCCAATTTCATTTCATTTCTTTCTATTAAAAACACTGATAATTTATGCACTTACAAACCAACTTAGATAACATGACCAAATTCAAAGTAACCCCAGATAAAAGTTATTTCACTGATAACCTTATTTTTAAATGACGTCTGCAAAGTACATATTATTAAGCATGTACTTATTTTAATATTGTACACTTACTATCAATTTTATTATATCTCCACATGGTACAAATTATATACCGTAAAACATTATGTGGGAGTCACATGATTATAGACGTACACGATTTTATCAAAATAATATAATTCATTTTGTAACCCTTTTGATAAATTTTATGATACAACTTTTATTATACATGTATACTTTATGCGGGAGCCACATGATTGTAGGTCTACATGGTTTTAATAATCTAATTAATTTTGTCACCCTTATGAAGTTATGATAAATGTAAACCTAAATTTTATTATACAACTTTTATTATATCTCCTTATATTATAAGGGAGCCATGTGATTGTAAGCCTGCATGATTTTAAAGTAGCTAAGTCTCTAACTCAATATCATCCAAAGTCTTCAATAATGAAAACACAAATTATTTGTCAATTTAAATCAACATTTATGTTGTGACCTTACCGGAAAAAGATGGGCTTCTGATATCCAATATTTAAGACAAAATAAACATTTTACCATTGGTAACAAAGGACTCGAAGAACGAGGCTGGACATATTCAACCTGTCGTGTCAAACGGTGACATCATATTCTTATCTGGAGAGCATGCGCAATAAATACTATCGGTGTAGACTGGAATAAGCAGACGCTAGAGATAGCCATTCGATTGAGACTTTTGGCTTATTTCGCCGTACATAATTAACTGATTTGAAATTATAGTAAAAATAAAATGATTGAATGTAAATCAGTTTATATACATTCATATTACATTATTATATGCGTTGCGACCCATTTGGGTCAATTCCTAGGTCCAAAATATTAGCGATTTAGCTCCTTTAATAAAATAATAAAATAATGTATTTGTTTTTTGTCACCCTTATAATAAATGTTAACATAAAATTTTAATATAGTAGTACTCTTATGATTAATTATTGTTTTATATCTCTGCCTTGTACAATATAGCTTAAAGTATGTATATATGGGAGCCATCATGTACTTGTACAATATATTTTAAAACTTGGAACAATTCTAAAAATTGGTATATTCTCCCACAGCTAAAGACCCCTACTCACAAGAGAATTATTGAAATAAAATTAAACCATATGTTAGTCCTAAATTAGTCGAGTTTTTGTCAAGTGGATTTTAAACCCCAAAGCTTTTTGTCCTAAACTGGACTGTAAATCAATGTTATAATATCAATATTTGTTCATTTTCTCTGATAAATAAATTTATATTTATACAAATTCTTTTACTTCCAGAAAATGTCCTCCGTTACCACCTAAGCGATATTTCTGGAATACATTTGGTCGAGAGTTCCTGGAAGATAGAAGAAAGGGTCTTGAAGATTATTTAAATGAGTAGGTATTTTATTGTTCACTGTATTGGTCCAGTTATAGGATTAGCGCTAGCCCTCTTTACTTGAGCCAACTGGCATGGTTTCGAATCCCCGGTTGTACGTGACAAGGAGTAGGGTCGACTGTCCAACCCCATGGGTTTTCTCCGGGTCCTCCGGTTTCCTCCCACTGCTAAAGACTCTACGTGCAAGCAAATTATTGAAATAAAATTAAAACCATATGTTAGTCCCGAAATGACCTAGTTTGTGTCGAGTGGACGTTAAACCCCATTTCTCTCTCTCTCTAGCCCTGTTAACATCTTAAGACTTTGACGAAATCTGCAGGTCCTAACCCTTACCCTAACCCACATATGACATTATGATATTTGAAGACAGAATTAAAAAACTCATCAATCTCGATCACAGAGATAACTTTACCCTTCGTTTATCTCTTGTAAAACTTACCGGCCATTAATCAGTGTGAATTCGGTTCCTAAGCCCCGCCTCCAGTGGCTACTGATTGGCAGGATTTGTTAGAATGAAATCTGCCAATTTCTAGACAATTAAATGAAATGAAATAAAATGGGGTTTAACGGCCTACTGTTTTTCTCCGAACTGGGCTAATGAAGACGGGCATACGCCATACAGTGTGCTATGAGGGAAATTTTGCCCGAACAGCGGCACTACGGCCTACTCTTATATCGAATTCCAACTGCCAAGGGATCTTTTACGTGCACGCCAATGTGTACATGTGTACATCGATTTGTTGCATGAGTTATATATTAATGATCCTTGGAACATTTTCCACATCTTGACATCAAAAGTTCATTCATAGCGAAAAAAGCAAGTGATTCGGCTAAAAACGTGAAATTTCTGAAGAAACACGAGTTTAAGCCACCATTTTGCATCTTTATGAAGCAACCGACAGAAGGATAAATCATGTGATATTCAAAATGGCCGATGAGTTTTCTCAGTGTGTCCACTGCTTTTGAGATACAAGAGGGTGCTGTATGTATAATAGTTTAATTTTAATGTTTAAACCTTGTAGAGACATTTATATAAATTACAACTTAATATAATATGAAATATTTGTATTTATTTATAGATTACAGAATGAGATGTTATACTTATCAGACGTGACCTTTCATCTGTTTGTACAAACAAGTTTAACGACAGAAGATATAGACAGTTATTTAAACGGGGACTTGTCGGAAGACGATCTCAATCAAGTCTGGTTAATGAGCGGCAAAAAAAATAGCCATGGAAGGTAACTACAAATGTTTAATATGATGTTGATATAGGGGAATCTATATGTAGGCGTAGTAGGCAGTGACAGGAAATTGGGCACTCTTGAAAGCTAATTAGCCTTTACCTGGGTTACCTCCCTTATTGTAAATATTTACTTTTAGTATGGCCTTTAGCGAAAATTATAATATGATCTGTACTGTATGAAATTGCCTTCCATAACCTACAAAAGAAGAAATATGCGACAACCATTGTCGAGCGCCCAGACTATTTAACTGCTGTGGGTGTAGGTATGTTTCGTTGCCTGGCAACCTATATTTTTGTATGCAGTATGGTTCTTCTGCTCTTACTATTACAGAGGTATTTAGTGGATAATCAGAAACTCGTGAAACCCTGAAAGTTTGTTTAATAAATATTTATTTTATTTTTCCAGCCAACTACACATATCGACATCTTGTCCACATCAGCTAAAGTATTTAGGAGGTTCCGACGGAGACGACACCTTATCACCAGATTCAAACCATTCCGGAGGACTTTCTAGATACGGTAATTCGCTATCGAACAGTTGGTTAGACATACCAGAGACACCTAGTGAAAGTTCTGATTGCAACTCAGTTGATTCAGGGGAAGATAACTCTAGTGCCAGTGACAAGACTAATACAGTTATTGTCCATAATAAAGCTACAGTGCAAGGAAATTCGTTCTTTCATAAACTAGGTTTTGGTCGTTCACAGACCAGCCCAGCGTTCAGTATAAATTCTATTAACGATAAGTAATGTTAAGTACTCTTAGGAAATTATGAGATCAAAAGAGAGGAACTTCAAGAGACCTATGTTCAAAGGGCCAAAATGCCAACGATTGCTGTATATGTTGTGTTATCAAGGTGCTTCTTATAATATACTGGTACTGAACATTTGAAGCTACACTACTATATAGTAGGCCTACTTCAGTTTGTTATCCAAGATGTTTATAATTTATAGTAGGCCTACTTCAGTTTGTTGTCCAACATGTTTATAATTTATAGTAGGCCTACTTCAGTTTGATGTTATCCAACATGTTTATAATTTATAGTAGGCCTACTTCAGTTTGATGTTATCCAAAATGTTTATAATTTATAGTAGGCCTACTACAGTTTGATGTTATCCAAGATGTTTATAATTTATAGTAGGCCTACTTCAGTTTGATGTTATCCAACATGTTTATAATTTATAGTAGGCCTACTACACGTTTGATGTTTCCAAGATGTTTATAATTTATAGTAGGCCTACTACAGTTTGTGATGTTATCCAAGATGTTTATAATTTATAGTAGGCCTACTTCACGTTTGATGTTATCCAACATGTTTATAATTTATAGTAGGCCTACTTCAGTTTGATGTTGTCCAACATGTTTATAATTTATAGTAGTCCTACTACATGTTTGATGTTGTCCAAGATGTTTATAATTTATAGTAGGCCTACTACACGTTTGATGTTGTCCAAGATGTTTATAATTTATAGTAGGCCTACTTCAGTTTGATGTTGTCCAACATGTTTATAATTTATAGTAGGCCTACTACACGTTTGATGTTGTCCAAGATGTTTATAATTAGTGACAAACATACACAGGTCGTAGAATAATGACTCATAAACTATATAGTAGGCCTACTACAGTTTGATTTGTCCAAGAAGTTTATAATTAGCCACAAACAAACAGACCGAAGAATTATAACTTATAAACCAGTTGATAACCAATTTCAAAATACAGATGTGGTCTTGTTGTAGTACAGTAAAGGACAGTATTGATATTAGTTGAAATATTTTGTGTGTGCTGGCCTGGCTGCTTTTTATGGTTTGGTGAAAAATACATGGTTGTTGTTTATGGACATTTTAAAAGTTTGTTTATGAAATTTATTTTGCAAGTTTTGAAAATTTATTTATGTTCTTGAAACTTGTTTATGGATGTTATAAAATGTAATTTACCGGTATGTATGGATGTTTTAAAATGTAACTAATGATATAAAAAGAGCATATTTTATGAAGTTTATTTAAAATATACACAGACCACATTTTATTCAACTTATATAATGTATATATTTTTTAAGTTTTTTATTTTAACTCGAAATAAAATTTTAATGTTGTTAGAAAACATTTGCATTCTGATATTTTTATGCCTACCTTGCAATGCGCATCACCTAGTGGAACATTCCCTGGACAGATGTGTATCAGCTTAGCTAACTGTCCATGTGATCCTAACATCCTGGCCTTTAGGTCGTTACCCCTCCCCAACATAATTTTGTCATGTAGTGTCCACAATAAGGGGTATGTTTTTCTGACACTGCCTCCATTATTCCTATGAGGGAATGGGGTTTAACATCCTACTGTTATGCTCCGACTGGGCTAATGAAGACGGGCATACTCCATACAGTGTGATATGAGGGAAATTTTACCCAAACAGCGGTGCTACTGCTTACTCCTATATCGAAATGCAACCAACAAGGGTTCTTCTACTTGCACGCCAATTTGTACATTGGACTAACATGGTTTAATTTCATTTCAATAGTTCGCTTGCGCGTAGGGGTCTTTAGCAGTGGGAAGAAACAGGAAGACTAGGAGAAAACCCATGAGGTTGGACAAGCGACCCTATTCCTTGTCACGTACAACCAGGGATTCGAAACCACACCGGTGGAAGCCAACGTAAAATACAACTAACTCCCAGACACACTCTACTTTTACAAATGAAATTTTATTAATACTGAGGAAAATTATGATCAACATTTTTACTCCATGAATGTAATCCTCCATTTATATCTTTAATTTCAATATTATTGTCCAATAGCTGTTGCTTTAATGTATTAACTGCTGACTGAGAGTCATTACCACGGCGACAAACAACAACAATTGGCACTTTATCATCACCATTTGATTTCAACTGATTAATTCTGTCTTTTACTTCTGATATTTTTTCTTCTTTTTGAAGTGAAGAAACTGGAATGTCTAAATATTGGTTAAATAAAATAAACTCTTGTTTTCTTATTCCAATAAGCCTACTTAAGCTAATTATGTTTTCCTTTTGTATTCGGTAACGAACCGTAATAATAGAATATGCCTACCAAATCCATGACATCGCTGACACAATAGGGAAAAGTAATGCTAATAATGATGATTAGGCCTACTTGTACAATTGCTGGTTTATTGAGCAGTATGTAGCACAGAGAGGGAGAGAAAGAGAGATGGGGTTTAACATCCACTCGACGCAAACTAGGTCATTTCAGGACTAACATATGGTTCAATTTTATTTCAATAGTTTGCTTGCGCGTAGGGTTTTTTAGCAGTGTAGGAGAAAACCGAGGGACCCAGAGAAAACCCATGAGGTTGGCCAGGTGATGCTACTCCATGTCATGTACAACTGGGGAATCGAAACCACACCAGTTGACCAGTATGTAACAAGGCTGGGTGATTTGTGGCTTTTTTGAAGAGGGACTTCAAATAATCAAGTAAGTAACAAACACTCAAAACAAACGTAACCACCGTTCACTGACTACAGCAAGCGAGGACGGCTAAATATCGGTAATTAATATAACTGTAAACAATAGAGTTTGGCCCAGTTACTGGAGATCGCAGGTGTATGGTATGGCACGTGTTTCACAAGGCGCTGGAGAAGGGTGGCCTAAACCATGCACTTTTACCTTAAACACCTGCCAAAGTTGCCCTGCGCCTTATCTATGCATGCGCCTAATACACCGAAAAATACGGCAGGAAGTTTATCATATGGAGAATCCACGGAATACTATCCAGTGTACTGGACTGTTCTGTATTTGTATGGGGTCGATGAAGGGGATTATTATATCAAGAAGCTGATGAATTACAATTGTCAGTTTAATCGTATTGACTACCGTATTTGTATGAAAATAAATCCTATGAAATCTGGGATGGCTAGTTTAAAAATATAAGCCATATTTTGTTAAAGGATACTGATAGTTTGTGTATTTGGTAGTTGACATATTTCTAATTCTACAGGTTGTCGTACATCTACTAATATATGAGGTTTCTTTTCTTCTAACATACTTTTATATTCCTGAAAATAGACATATAATAAATTAAACGTCTGCACAACTTTAAGAGTACTAGTATTTTTAAAATAATGAAAAGTGTTGTGTGGAGCTGGGAAATAGTGTAAATATATGTCAATTATGAAAAGTTAAATAAAATAAAATTAAGAGAGAGAGAGAGAGAAATGGGGATTAACGTCTACTCGACACAAACTAGGTCATTCCGGGACTAACATATGGTTTAATTTTATTTCAATAATTTGCTTGTGCTTAGGGGTCTTTAGCAGTGGGAGGAAACCGGAGGACCCGGAGAAAACCCACGAGATTGGACAGGCGACGCTACTCCATGTCACGTACAACCGGGGATTCGAAACCACGCCAGTTGACTCAATGACAGGCCTTATGATACAGCACTCACGTGCTAACCATTCGGCCATCCAACCCCCGAAATAAAATTAAATTAAATGAAATGGGGTTTAAGATCTGTGCACCAACTGGGCTAATGAAGACTGGCATACGCTATGCATGTGAGAAATTTTGCCACGGCAGCAGTATTTTCAACTACTCTTCAACAAATTCCAAGGGTACATGCCAACAATTAAAAAGATGGATCTCGTTTTTTTGTCCCTTCCAAACAACAAGACACTTTTTCCTTGCCAAGCTCTCCATCCTACAGGAAATCAGTCTGGATAATATGGAAGAACTTTCTGGACAAACACTGGGGTCGAACCCATACCCCCTAATTAGTGAGCCAGTGTCATACACATTAAAGACCCATGGCTCCCAATCATGAAAAGAGAAAAGCTGTGTTGAAAGAAGTAAATTGTGAACTAACCTTAGCAGACATTCTTTGTTCTTTCTCTAAAATATTCATAGCTTTATCCTAAAAATCATAAATTCAAACATCAATTCAAAAGCTTCCAAAAAGTGCACATTCCTACACTTTTACTCAAAACATTCTCAGACTTAAGTTATGATTTTACTCAAAATTGTTCGCCTTATTTTAACTAAAATATAACCCTATATAAAACTTTTGTTGTTTTAATGTATCGAATACATCAATAAGAAACTATGTACAAAGTTCTATGTTTCTGGATCAAAGATATTTCTCATAAACAGTGATTGAAAGTTGAGTAAATTCTTATGAGAAATATATTTCATACAAAAACACACCACCTATTACAAGTACGATCAACATGAAACTTGGCAGGGTTTTTCCTTGGATAATTTTGCATTGACTGACAGACTTCGATTTCTTATATGACGTTACAATTCCAAGATGGCTTTTATGATGTCATACTCAGTTTCTGGTCCATGTTTGAAAAAAAGGGCCTACCTTATCTGATGCCTTTGCTCCACAGAATTGTTCATAATCTATTAACTGAGTTATAGTTGGTGCATCACCACAGACTGGACAAGATGGCTGCCTTCCTCGTAGTTTCACACATCGGAATGTTCCGTCTATAGCATCAAATAACAACATTCTCTGACCAAACGATGCTAATTTATAATAAGGTATAATTTATATTGTAACATGGACGGGAGATCTTCCTTTGTTCTTTTCGTTGAATAAGCAGATTGTTTTCCCTCTAGTAGATTGGGTGGAGCTTAACCGTGCAATAACTAGACATGTTCAATGTTATTGCACTCTTTTGCTGGTTTACACTAGTTTTAGTAGAAATCATATAGAGAAGTGGGGTGGGTTCCCTATGCAATAACAACAAGCATGTTGAGCAGGTGCCAATGTTACAAGTCATTTATAGCACGCCTCTGGTTAAACCTGTTAACTCATGAAAGCTGTGCTATAAATATAACTTAATTAACTTAATATTTTCAACAGTGGTACACAATGACCTAAGCAGGGGACCAACTTTAAATAGACCTATTACTGTTAAAATAGGGGAATCAATAGATGTATGCTTAGTGAAAAGTTTTCAGATTCTATTAATCATACATTATGCAAGAGCTAAATCTGCCTATTGCAAGTCTTTCTTTAGGCCTGAAATGTTATTAATTTGACATTAATTAACCTATCCAGACCATAATCAACTCTAGATGTGATCTTATGTGTCAGATTTTCAATGGATTTGAATCCGATTTGCTGCTCAATGCTCATTGATTATTAAATCCAAAAATAAATAATTGAAACTATGTTTTTTTATCATACCGACTTTAGTAATGATGATCAAGGATAGGCCTATTATTCAACTGCTAATATCTCGCTTCAGAGTGGAGCAATGTGACTGAAATTTTCAGCAAATTCCCTTCACATTATCTAGTTTTTAACTATTATAGTGAGAACTGTCAGCTCTTTATCTTATCTACCATAATGCCCCTTTAAAATATTTATAGAAATGTTTACATCAACAGAAGGATACATTTTATTCCAGATGCTATTTTAATTGCTTCTAATGCCTGCATACATCCAATTATTCCTGGCACTGAAATAAAGAAATTAAATATCCAAACATATTTGCAATATTTCTGTCCTCATTTAACAACTATGATTTTTTAAATCACACGCAACAGACCTGTCACCATATCATCCAATAAAATTAATGTTTTTAGAGAAATTATCAACACCTGTAGGAGAGAGAGAAATGGGGTTTAACTTCCACTCGACACAAACTAGGTCATTTCGGGACTAGCACATGGTTCAATTTTATTTCATTTAATCGCTTGCGCATAGGGGTCTTTAGCAGTGGGAGGAAACTGTAGGACCCGGAGAAAACCTACAAGGTTAGACAGGTGACCCTACAACTTGTCATGTACAACCGAGGAATCGAAACCACGCCAGGTGACTCAATGACAGTCCTTATGATATAGCGCACACATGCTAACCATTCGGCCATCCCCCGCTGTAAGAGCTGTTAGGGACTGTGATAGGGAATGGTAACAGTGCCATGATATTATGATGATTTGAAAACAGCCCTATACTCGGCAATCTCTGCAGATGATATAAACAAGCCAGTGCCACCTATAAGTAATGGCTAAAATCTGTTGATGAGCCTCTTTCTAATTCAATTGAATCCAAGCTGCGAGATAAGCTCTCTTTGATATTTTGATTTTCCTTCCTTAATTAAATGTCAAATAATCAATCCGAGTACATTTTAGCGTGGACTAAGGCATATAAAAATAGACATTGTCCTAAAAATTGACCATCAGCACCAGTGACTTTAGACAGCCATGGTACTTTTCTAAACTAAGAGAGAGACAGAGAGAAATAGAGTTTAACATCCACTCAACACAAACTAGGTCATTTCGGGACTAACACACGGTTCAGTTTTATTTCAATAATTCACGTAGGGGGTCTTTAGCAGTGGGAGGAAACTGGAGGACCCAGAGAAAACTCACGAGGTTGGACAGGCAACCCTATTCCTTGCCACGTACAACCAGGGAATCTCTAAACTAAGAGCATAAAGAAAATCGTGTTCTGTATCTTTAACAATAGTTGGGGAGTTGGATGGACGAATGGTTAGCATGTGTGCACGCTTTATCATGAGGCCTGTCATTGAGTCAACTGGCATGGTTTCGAATCCCCAGTTGTACGTGACAAGGGGTAGGGTTGCCTCTCCAACCTCGTGGGTTTTCTCTGGGTCCTCCTATTTCCTCCCACTGCTAAAGACACCTACCCGCAAGCTAATTATTGAAATAAAATTAAACCATATGTTAGTCCCGAAATGATCTAGTCTGTGTCGAGTGGATGTTAAACCCCATTTCTCTCTCTCTTTAACCATAGCTGTATTCAGATTGCATTGCAGAAAATTTCCAGAAGTGGTTCAAAAGTGTTCTAAAAGTTGGGGTCTTGAGCATTCCCTAGTGGATGGAATAGTTTTTGCAATACAAATATCATTATCATAATTTAAACTTACCTACACCTACGACTCCACCATCAGAACAATTTGTAACAGTTTGGGGTGGAGGGGGTTTAGGATACAAACATCTATAACATGGTCCATTCTCATAATTATATACAGTTAACTGAAAAATAACATGGTCCATTCTCATAATTATATACCGTTACATTCTCATAATTATGTACAATTAACTGTAATACATAAACAACATTTTTACCAATCTTACACAAACATAGTTAAACCAATTTATAAAGATAGAAATAAATAACAGAACGCAATATCTGTTTATTTTACCATGAACTGGGCCTCAAGTTGAAGCGCTACTCATTGCACGTCACAATTCCAAGATGGATGCAATGTCTTCATACTCAGTTACTTGTCCACAGTACATTGGTATCTGTTTAAATCAGACATGTATTTTTGGATATGTCTCCATTGTAGACTCTTCACTGAAGTAGCGACACAGTCTCTCGGAATCGAGACTGTTTACAATATTATCGCTATATTGTCTTCATCAATTGATTTGTCAACTTACAATATCTCCTTAATTCCTTTACTACAATCTCTTTCTTGAAATATAATTAAAATTCTGTGAGATGTATTAATTCTGAAAGTTTTAGTAATCTATTAATGTTCCTACCTGTCCCTCGAATCTAAGAGCACTACCTGAGACGAGAGTTTTACCTGCTATAACACAAGCATCATTGAGTAAATACCTGGTAGCCACATTATCTGTAGCATCTAATACTATATCATATCTAGTCAGGTATTAAGGATCAAATATATTGATTGCTGTATAAAAGGGGTAAGGGTCTTATGGGGGTTGAGTAGCTGAATGGTTTAACGAGCGCATTTTAGATCATAAGGTCTGTCATTGAGTCAAGTGACATGGTTTTCATTCCCCACAAGGAGGAGGGAGAGAGAGAGAGAAATGGGGTTTAACGTCCACTCGACACAAACTAGGTCATTTCGGGACTAACATATGGTTTAATTTTATTTCAATAATTCCCTTGCGCATAGGGGTCTTTAGCAGTGGGAGGAAACCGGAGGACCCGGAGAAAACCCACAAGGTTGGACAGACGACCCTACTCCTTGTCACGCACAACCGGGGATTCGAAACTACGCCAGTCGACTTAATGACAGACTCTAACCATTCAGCCATCCTACCCCCCACAAGGAGAAGGGTTGCCTGATCAACCATGTGCAGACGAATTATTGAAATGTACGTTACATCCCATTAACCTCTGTCTGTTTAAAAGGATTAAACACCGTTATTAAAAGTTGAACTCAAAAGAAATGTCAGTTCAAAAGTCATTCAATTCCATTCATTAAAAAAAGGTTATGTTGAATTGATTATATGTCAAAGTTTGCCATCCTTGCACGATATATAATAAGATATGGCCAAAATCAGATAGCAACACCTATAATTTTCCCTGAAATCATTCGAAGAGCAGCTTCTTAATTTGTTTAAATCAAAGCCGGGAGATTTGTTTTCTTAATTAAATGTTAAATAATCAATTTGAGTATATTTCAGGTAGAAACCTTGAAATTTAGGTATTAATTGTCCGAATAATATAAAAGATTCAAGACTAGTGTACAGTTGTTTGATACTGTTATTTTTTGTTGTAATTGTCTAAATTACTATTTATTTGTCTTCTTTAAACAACATTATTAATATATATATTTTAATCAAAACTTCTGGTCGCCTGTCCAACCTCGTGGTTTTTTTTCCGGGTCCTCCGGTTTCCTCCCACTGCTAAAGACCCCTACGCGCAAGCGAATTATGTAAATAAAATTAAACCATATGTTAGTCCCGAAATGACCTAGTTTGTGTTGAGTGGACGTTAAACCCCATTTCTCTCTCTCTCTCTCAAAACTTCTGCAGACAATATTTAGGATGCAGTATCAACACATATGATTACTGGTAGCTATATGAAATCTTTTGATAAAGGTCGTTTTAATCCAATTAAATCCAATGAGTACATTTTAACAAGAAATATGATGCCAAAGATGAACAGCAACTTATAATGACAAAAAGTAAGGTTGTAGAGTAAGTGACCTAACACCAGAGCTCATACATTCATTCTAGCTAATATACCCTCAAGCTGTTTGACCCACTTTACTCACTGTCCTCAGAAAAACTAGGTCACTAACAACAGTGTAGGTATTTAAAATTTAAGGGGAAGGAACTCCTGTCCACAGTTGCCTCATATGTTTCAATGACTTTTGCAAATAAGTTTTTATTTTTACAATTTTCATTTTAAACATTTTAATCAAATTGTACAAATTCTAATACTCAATTAACATGTATTCGCAGACAGAAAATTTAATGGAAAATGCATTTTATAAAATTCAAAAACCTTGGCCAGAAAACTCGCTGATAAAACAACATACTAAAAATAGTATACCATCTCATGACTTTTTATTTTTACTCTGGTTTCTCCTCATATATCGAGTAAATCTTTCGCCTTTTACTAAAGATTTCCGTGGGGAGGAACAATTTAATGAGTCTATAGACAATTTTTTCAACCCTACCTAGTAGGGTAACATTAAATAAAAAGAGATTGACCCATTCCCTTTTATTTAGGTAGCATTTATGCAAGCTAAAAAGTTCAAAATAACATTTAACTTAGATGGAAATGAAATTAACATTTATTAAAAGTAAGTGACCTAATTAAAGAAACATTAGTTAAGATTTAGATAAAGAGCTGATCATTCTTACTATAATAGTTCGAAAATAGATAATGAAAATATTGAAAATTTCATTTAAATTACTTCATTCTGAGCCAGGTTATCACCGTTTGTAGTGTTGACAAGATGTGTGCATTGTGGTAACCAGAGAACTGGTATATTCAAGACTTGGCCTCGCTTTCCCATTTTTAAATGGCGAACCATTCTAATCTAGTTAAAATCTCAAGTATCCAATGCCATCATAGTTGATTATGGTCTGGATAAGTTAATTAATGTCTAATTAATAGTTTATATAACATTTCAGGCCTAAAGAAAGACCTGTAATAGCCAAATTTAGCTATTGCATAATGTATGTTTAAGAGAAGAAAAATGGTCATTGTCAGAGAATACTGAAAATACAGTTTACAGTTTGGGAATTGATATTCATATTCAACAATTTGTATGGTTTATGAAAACAAATTATTATGGCTTGCTAAGGTTCATTTACTAGAGGACCAAAACCACCAATATAAGGCTTATACTCTATAGTAAGGATTACCTTTTCCAATAAACATGTCAAACAGCACATGTTTGATTGATAAGACTAGAGGATAAAGAATGATTTTTGTCAGAGGGGATCTAACTAAGATTTTAGTTAAAAGATAATGATATAAAAAGGATACTGTGATATTATAGGTAGAGCATTAGAACTGTTTAAAGCTAGGTGATAAGGTACATATTCCACACCAGAATTTAACCTGAAACATAGTCATTATAATCATATTTTAAATTTAAACATATGTTATTGATCATAAATCATTAAAGGGATGAAAGACAAGTGAATTCACTTACAAAGCTTTTCTGCCTACCTCACAAATACCTGATATACATCATTATTAAAACACTATACATGTAATAAATATTAGTTTATATCATTCTAATATATTCATAACTATACTTCTATATTCTAACCATACTTCTATAATTATAGCTACAAATTTGATAGGGGGATCACGGTGGCTTAGTGGGTAAGGCGCTGGCTCGCTAGCCTGGAGGTCGGGTGTTGGGTGAGAAAGTTCATCCCGATTTTCCGGCGTGGTTCCCCCTTGTCAGGGATGCAGGACGGAGGGCCTGACAAGGATAGCTGTCTAGTCATTCGGATGAGACGAAAAACCGAGGTCCCGTGTACACATTGGCGTGCATGTAAAAGATCCCTTGACTGTTGGAATTCGATATAAGAGTAGGCCGTAGTGCCGCTGTCCAGGCAAAATTTCCCTCATAGCACACTGTATGGCGTATGCCCGTCTTCATTAGCCCAGTTCGGAGCAAAACAGTAGGACGTTAAACCTCATTTCATTTCATTTCATTTCACAAATTTGATAATTATAGCTACAATTTTGATGATTATAGCTACAATTTTGATAATTATAGCTACAATTTTGAGAATTATAGCTACAATTTTATACGGAATATACTAAAATTATAATCATATCCCACATATTATACAATAAATGATATTAAATAAACTTAATGTTTGAAAACACCATGATTCAAAAAACACAGACAAGTTCTTGCCAAGTGACCAATTATTTTGATGAGGCTCTTTTTAATACGATTGAATCCAATTTGTCATGGTCAGATAGTTGGGCAAATTTTAATTTTGGGATATCTTCGACGTCTTCTAAATGACTCGCTTCATTTGAAACAAATTCTGTCAGTTGATTCAAGGGTGGTAATTATCTAGATGGTGTCAAAATGAAATAAAATGAAATGGGGTTTAACGTCCTACTGTTCTGCTCCTATACTGGACTAATGAAGACGGGCATATGCCATACAGTGTGCTATGCGTGAAATTTTGCCCGGGCAGCGGCACTATGGCCTACTTTTATATCAAATTCCAACTACCAAGGGATCTTTTACGTGCACACCAATGTAAACACGTGCCCTTGGTTTTCCGTCCCATCTGAACGACTAGACAGCTGTCCTTGTCAGACCCTCCGTCCGGCACCACTGACAAGGGAAACCACGTCGGAAAACCATGATTCACTTTCTCAGCCAATGCAGGGATCGAACAGGCAACCTCCAGACTACCAAGCCAGCGTCTTACCCACTTAGCCACCGTGGCTCACCGGTGTCAAATTAGTTGCCCAGTCCATATATGGGGTGCAGAGGTCCCTTGAGTTGTTAATGATGATTTCTTCTTTAAATCACATGGCATTCCTCAAGGTATTAATATCCAATTCTTTTTCAAGCTGCCTGTCCAACCTCGTGGGTTTTCTCTGGGTCCTCCGGTTTCCTCCCACTGCTAAAGACCCCTACGCGCAAGCGAATTATGTAAATAAAATTAAACCATATGTTAGTCCCGAAATGACCTAGTTTGTGTCGAGTGGAAGTTAAACCCCATTTCTCTCTCTCTCTCTCTTTTTCAAGCTGGCTATTTGAGTTGTCCTACCTGTGACAAGAAGTGGCAATTGATTGTGATTTAGACATTCCTACACGATCTTCTGTATGAAGTATCTGACGATGTAGATTACTTAATTCTACTTCATCATAATCTACAATACCTAGCCTACCTGAAAATATAACGCAATACACAGGTAGCAACATGGGTGACTACATGATACGTCCACAGGAAAATATAACTCAATACACAAGTAGCTACATGGGTGACTACATGATACGTCCACAGGAAAATGTGAATCCAGATAAAAATAGAGAGTGAGGAATCGAAAAATGAAAATGGTGGTGTATAAACAGACAAATATGTGGCAGACAAATGACAGACAACAGTGGGATTGTACCTGATTTTCTATTACATGTAGTTAATTACAGGTGTGTTGAATACATTTGTCACTTATTGTTCAGTAGAAAAGTTAAAACCTAGCCTCACAAATGTGTGCAGTGCGAGAGGAATGCGAAACTGAAAATGTAGGTATAAAAAGACAAATGACAGGTAACAGTGGAAATGTACCTGCATTTGTTCCTGATAGGGGGGGGGGTGGATGGCCGAATGGTTAGCACGTGCGCGCGCTGTATCATAAGGCCTGTCATTGAGTCAACTGGCGTGGTTTCAACTCCCCGGTCGTATGTGAAAAGAAGTAGGGTCGCCTGTCCAACCTCGTGGGTTTTCTCCGGGTCTTCCGGTTTCCTCCCACTGCTAAAGACCCCTACGCGCAAGCGAATTATTGAAATAAATTTTTTTTTTTTAAAAACATGTTAGTCCCGAAATGACCTAGTTTGTGTCGAGTGGACTTAAACCCATTTCTCTCTCTCTCCGTCTCTCTTAGTTCCTGATATTGTCTGTGACTGGAGGTTTATTTCCAGGCTTCTATCAGGTAGAAAGTAAAATATTGCAACTATCCAAAAACCATTTTCAAGGTTAGGGTTAGGATTATGAGAGTTATTTAAAGACCACAGAAAAAAAAAAATGTTAAACTAACCTATGCCAGCAGCCGCTAAATAAACAGCAGACGGACAACCCAATCCTCCTGCTCCAACTATCAATACGCTACTGTTAGTTAACTTCACTTGACCTTAAAATACAAAATATAAAAAACTTGTATTAACATTTACATGTGACCCTTTAGTAGAAAATATAACACTGATCTTCATCTTTAAATCTGATGGCAAAATGATACATATATCATCCAATGGCATAAAATTCAAAATTAAAAACACGATTAAAATTCAATATTGGTCCATTTCAATCAATACAGAATATAGAAAACCTGTATTAAAGATGCTGTGTGTTATGAGAGAAATTTTGTCTACTCTTTTTTATCGAATTCCAACTGTCAATGTGTACAATTACGTTTTCTGTGCCAGCACTTGCTGCAGTAAGGTTGTGGAAAGAAACATTGATAACAAACAAAATAAAATGGCGAGTGAGATTTATACCAACTCACCTGTAACACCTAATTCTGGTAATATCAATTGTCGACTATATCTACTGATACTTTCATTGGATAACTTGTTTACTTTATCTAAAGGTTTTAAGGCCTCTTTTGTAATGTCAGTTCTTAATGACAGTTGTTTTTCCTGGCGGGAAAAGAAAAGATTTAAGCATGGAACGAAATCTGATTTTATGTAATTATCACTCATTTTAAGACATTTCAAGACAATATACATGATTGTTTTTCTTCTATGGTAACATTTTTTTTCTTCTTAGAATTGCAACTGTCAAGCATATACATATCGGTTGTTCCGGCTCTAACTAATAAGTCTCTCTCTCTCTCTCTCTCTCCCTTTGGTCAGATCACACTTGACCCCTTTCCTTTGACCATAATGTATTTTATATTCCATTGATCTAGACAGACTTTAACGCTATATAACAATGGTTCACAACCTCTTTCCACTCGGAGGCTCCTCTGGGCATTTTACAAATCTTCCAAGATATTTGTTAAATCAAACATGGGCCTTCTTAATCTAAGAGAGAGAGAGGAATACGGTTTAACGTCCACTCGACACAAACAAGGTAATTTTGGGACTAACATTTGGTTCAATTTTATTTCAATAATTCGCTTGTGCTAGAGGTCTTTATGGCAGTGGGAGGAAACCTGAAGACCCGGAGAAAACCCACGAGTTTGGAAGGCGACTCTACACCTTGTCACATACAACTGGGGAATCGAAACCACGCCAGTTGACTCAATGACAGACCTTGAAGGCTTGATGCAACACAAGCTAACCATTCGGCCATCCAGCCCCACCAAACATGCAGCTGAACAAAAAGTAAAAATTAAATCCTTGTAAAGTAACAGCATGTTTGTCATTTGGTCATGAAAAAAAGCAATATCCAGAGAGTTCTTGGATTTTCGATTGACTGAATTTAGGATTATTTTGATCACGTAGACTACAGTACATGAAACAAATTGAAATTATTTTAAGTTCATAATTATGACTACTGTCTGATTCATCGTAAATTTTAAACGGATTTCTTCGATTATGAACAAACTACTTAACTTTGGTTATTATAAACTTACCTGTGTGTTTGTAATGAACTCCCGTTCGATAAAATCCATTGCACAACTAATTATCACAACGATGAGAACAATTTCTCTTTTGAAAAATTTGAAAATTTACTTGTAATTTCGACAGAGGCGATGTCAACAATGTCTTCGTGACGTATTGGTCGAATCCAATATACCTGTTGCGGGGGTTGGTTAACATTGAAAGATAGTTTGACAGCGCGATCATTTTGATCGTATATGGGTTTGGGCGACGAAAAATATCAATTGAAGGCAATTACATAGGAGATTTATATGGAAACCATTGATCGCCAGTCTATCAAATTTTCTTCACAATTAAAATATCACTGATTGCACGGATACTCGTAAAAATAAAGTCATGAATAAACTATAAATATCCTATCTTCTTTATGTTATAAATAATTTAACAAGGATCATGAAGCTTACCTCCGAATTCTCTGAGTGTATTTTTAATTTTATACGCATTCTTTCGATCGAATAATAACCGCTTCAGTAACATCTTTAAGCGTGTTGCGGCAGCCCTCAGCGTGTCTATTGCCGTATTGGGTGCCCGGGTGGGTATATAATGCTACTAAGCCCGTATGACCCCGTAAGAAGCGGAACATTAATTCTCGATTCGACAGTTTTGACCGAAGTGTGATAAAGCCCGTAAAACGAATGTATAGTTGTGTTTGTGCGGCATGCGTGTTCAAAAGTAAATAATCCCATCCGAGTCGCTAATCAAATAATTAGAACAAAATATTTCAAAAAGTAAAGCTATAAAATTTGCAGAGATTTTACTAGAATGTAAAAGACGGTAACTAAATACAGGAATGCGGTTAGTTATGTGTGCGAACGCTCAAACTCAATGCCAATTGTCGTAGGTATCCAGACCACTCGGACCAAAGACTACTCGGACTAAGACCAGTCGGACCAAAACAAGACCAGTCGGACCAATTAAATTATATTATAAGGCTAGACAATATGCTATTTATTTATTATTAAATCACAATACAAAGAAGCAAATAATTCTTATACGGAATTCTTATATTTAGAGTTGTTTGGTTCAATTTTGTGTACGTAAATAAATCAACGATTAGTTTTAAAATTAATTAATAATGGTGCAAAAAAAAAATATCAATCTAATTTTTCTTTACTCTTGCAATGAGACTCGGTATTTCCAGACTTTTGACAGTTTCTACATATACGGGTATACTGTTCTTGTCTGATAGCCTAATTTTACTTTTTCCACATTCGCGGTATCCCCAGTGGTTTCATTCCGTTCTACCCCACTAACCCCTGGGTTACTATATATGGGGGGGGGGGGGTGGAGACACGTTTTCAAGTTATCCGCCCTTGATGCGTTAATATAAACAGCACATAATAATACGAAGACCGGACGTTTATATGCCCCTTTTTAATCGTGACTACAAGTGTGGTTCTCGATATTTTGCGATTTTGAATACAATTATCAATTTATTCAAACAACACGTTATTATTAGTTCGAGTAGTCATATTAAAACACACACAATTATCAATTTATTCAAATAACACTTTATTATTGGTTCGAGTAGTCATATTAAAATAAACACAATTATCAATTTATTAAAATAACACTTTATTATTGGTTCGAGTAATTATATTAAAACAAACGCAATTATCAATTTATTAAAACAACATTTTATTATTGGTCCGAGTCGTCTTTCTGTTGGGTCCGAATAGTCTTTTTGTATGGTCCGAGTAGTCTATTTGTTTGGGCTGAGTGGTCTATCACTTGGTCCGACTGGTCTTGAACCGAGTGATCTTTGGTCCGAGTGGTCATGGATTCTTGTCGTAATTGTACTTGAATTTCCTATACTGTCACCCCTAATACGAAATGATATCTTCCGCAGAGTGACGTAACCATCTTCCATATTGGTATTTTTCTCTGGGAAAAGTTTGTGATATTTCAATTTTTCAAGAGAGAACTTGTTTTCATCGTTGTGATAATTAGTTGTGCAATGGATTTTATCGAACGGGAGTTCATTACAAACACACAGGTAAGTTTATAATAACCAACGTTAAGTAGTTTGTTCATAATCGAAGAAATCCGTTTAAAATTTACGATGAATCAGACAGTAATGATTAAATGAATCAGAATGCCTCCTTTTTAAATTTAATGGCTAAATAAAATGAGATTTATACCTTTTCCTGCAAAGTCATTTTCAGTTTTGCGATTTCTGCATTTCTTTTTGACAATTCGTCTTTTAAAAGTTGCAATTCATCCATCTCAACTATGTCAAAATTCATAAACTTTCTTGCGTTCTTTAAAACTCTCAGTCGGGAGCAAATCAAATGTTTACATTTTGACGTCACTTCCTTTAACAGGTACTTGTAGTCTCGTTTGTCATGTGGTTATATAGCAAGGGAGATTACTCCCGTGAATTATACACGTCTGGTAAAACAAGACATCTTTTAGCAGACGACGCGTGTCTTTTGACAGCTCTCGTGGGACCAACCAGGACAAGTCCAAGACGCTGAATTTTTGACAGACGTTACAAACAACCGTCATGGCCAGAACAAAGCAAGCTCCTTACAGAAATGCGCATACTCCTGAGAATCTAGTTCAGAAAATATTTGCTTCAAAGATTAAGTCCCACAACAAAAGAAGGTCAGATGTTGAAATAAAAGCTAGAAAGAAAACAAAACGCTATCGACCCGGGGTCAGAGCTATTAAAGAAATTAGAGCTAACCAAAGAAGTACAAAATTGCTGATTAAAAAATTACCATTCCAGAGATTGGTAAAAGATATTACTGAAACACATTTTCCTGGATTGAGAATGCAAACAGCTGCCTTAGCAGCACTTCAGGTAGTGACCTCATTATAATCTAAAATTTAAGTTTTCAAAATATTCTACCTAGGCCGCCCTAATGCTTCTAAATCATTCAGTTAGCTAGAGAAGGGAGCCACGGCGGTTCAGCGGGTAAGACGCTGGCTCGGAAGCCTGGGGGTCGTGTAGGTCCTATTCAATCCCAGCATTGGCCGAGAAAGTTGATCAAGATTTTCAGGCGTGTTCCCCACGTCACTAATTATGTCAGTGGTGCGGGACAGACAGAGGGCCTGGCAAGGGACAACGTATAATTGTTCAAGGTCCCGTGTACATTGGCATGCACGTAAAAGATCCCTTGGTGTATGTCCGTCTTCATTAGCCCAGTCGGAGCAGAACAGTAGGATGTTAAACCCAATTTCATTTCAATTTCTCAGTTAGCTAGAGACTCTTATTCTTAAAGGCTCAATACCACTCTTGTTGTAACTGAATAATATGTCCCAATCTTTATTCTGGTCAACAAATTGTACTATTTTCCAATATTCCAATTAATTGATGATACAAAACAAATTTCATCTTAACACACCTATTCACCTAATTTAAAAAATTGGAAAAATTCAACTAAATGATTTGGACAAGTAAAATAGGATTTAATGGATAATTTACACAACAGGTAGGACACTAACACATCGAGTACTTAGAATAAGGCTATTTTTTATTTTCTGGAGCTGTCGAGCCAGCAAGAGTGTTATTGTCCCTTTAAGCTTGTCTTACTCCTGACTAGGAGTAGAATCAGGAAAGGTTCATTTCAGTTTAACATGAACAACAGTAGGCTGGAGGAGGTATTTCCAAGATCAAGGAGAACTGCACTGCCACTTATCAACCATTAGTTTAATTAAAATCATCTGTCATTATCTGATTTTTACACTAGGGAACCTAAGGCTAAGTTCTAATCATCATATCAAAGTTCTATCAAGCAAAAATTTAGTAAAGATCTATATAATATCCCCAGCGACAATCTTCCATTAGCTTCTGAAACCCCCCAGGCCTAAGGAATTACTCCCATTATATCATTCACCACATAAACTAGTAGTAGTACACAATTTGAATCAAGTTCACCATGTGACGCCAACTTCAAACAAAGTACTCCAAACTTTAAAAGAAACATAACCGACATCTATCACCGAGTAATTTCTATAAAGACAGTGCACAGATGAATATAATTAATATGAATTCCCCCCTTATTTTTTTTTTGATTAAATAAATATTTGTTTTTTTTTTTCATTTACCAGGCATTAAAACATAGCTTATTGATTTAAAAATTGAAATTGATAAATTAAAAAAAATTCTTTTGCACAGGAAGCCACAGAAAGCTACATTGTTGGTCTATTTGAAGATGTGAACATATGTGCCATTCATGCCAAACGGGTGACAGTGATGCCAATGGACATGAAATTAGCACTGAGGCTTCGAGGAGATAAATATATATACCATGAACTTTGTTAAACTCGAATTAAAACACATTGATTGTGTCTGAATATTAAGTTTTGGAAAAAAAAAATGAAAAAGCAAAAAAAAGATCTCAGTTGGCACGTTTAGAACATTGATTGTGTCGTGCAGGATATTAAGTTTTCGAGAAAAATGAAAAAGTGAAGAAAAAAAAATATCTGTTCATCTTTAGAACATTGTAGCATATTTTAATGTATGGGTAATTATTCCTAAGGTTGATACTTTAAGAAATTCAAATGAAATTGTTTATTCCTTTGTACATATTATTATAGATTTTAATTATTTATATAAAACCAAAGCAAACCTGTGATATTTATAAATCATGTACATACAGTAACATTGTGTTGAATTATTCTTATTCTTGTTATTATTAAATATTATTGATTAAAAATTAAATTTATTATGTTCCCAAGATTTGTTGCAATGTTTTTTTTATTCCACAACCAATCTGTTAATATTAAGAATAGTATGACGGTGGCTGACTATATGTTTTGTAGTAGAGTATTTTGCGTAACAATGCATGGAGTTTCTTTTATTTCCTCTTATTTACCATGGGGGGGGGGGGGGGGTAGATGGCCGAATGGTTAGCATGTGCGCGTTTTATAATAAGGTCTGCCATAGAGTCAACTGGCGTGGTTTCAATTCCCTGGTTGTACTGGCAAGCAGTAGGGTCGCCTGTCCAACCTCATGGGTTTTCTCCAAGTCCTCCGGTTTCCTCCCACTGTAAAAGACCTCTACACGAATTATTGAAATAAAATTGAACCATGTGTTAGTCCCGAAATGACCTAGGTGTCCAGTGGACGTTAAACCCCATTTCTCTCTCTCTCTTATATACCATACAATGTTATAGGGAGTGTGAAGGGTAGCCCAGTGAGTCCTTGTCTTTTAGTTAAGTGTTTAAAATGGATTTTACCTGGAAGTTGGCGACTATCGTGATATAACATCACACATTATGCATTTGGTGAATAAATAATGACACGAAAATCCCATCAAAAGCCACAATTGGAAAATGCATTAGCCAAACTTTCCATTTACAATAAATGTTAGTTAATTAACATTTTTTTGGAGGGTTGGATGGCCGAATGGTCTTAAAGTGTACGTTTTAGATCATAAGTTCTGTCATTGAGTCAAGTGTAATGGTTTCGATACCAAGATTGTACATGACAATTAGTAGGGTCACCTGCCTAACCTCACAGGTTTTTTCGGGTGCTCTAGTTTCCTCCCACTGCTAAATAAAATCAAAGTTTGTCAGTCGATGGGCAATTGTCCAAGGAACATGTTAACTGTACTTGGATTGGCAGAGCTTTTTAAGCGTCGTCCCCAAGAAGAACAAGATCAGTAGCACTTGCCAATGTCTTGGAAATGTGACATATCAAAAATCAAAGCCTGTCAATCGATATGCAATTGTCCAAGGAACAAGCATGCCAAATTTCATATCAATTGTACTTGAATTGGCATAGCCTTGGGCTTTTTTCAAAGAGCATCAACCCCAAGAAGAACAAGATGAGTTGTGCTTCGGCGACAGTTCCTGGTCATTCGCATAGCCTTGGGGACAGTTCCTCGTCACAGAATAATAAGAGTACCGTAATTGGATTAATACTAAATGTCTATCAAGAAATCAGTTTTACACCAAAGCTTTGTCCAAAAGGAAACAGATGAAAATGTAAATCATAATGACAATCTCTAATATGCCGTTCAGACGCTAATATTTACGCTATAGTTCAGACGCTAATTTTTACGCCATAGTTTAATAACGGCAAGATTTATCAGCCAGGAGAGTGGAGCGCTCATACATATACGCCAAGCCAGCTTAATTTCTGACAGCCACGGTCAGCATTTATAGTTAATTATGTATTTATCCTACTTAATTAGCGGTTAGAGTCAACTAACTACACATTGTCACATACTGCCATTTTTATCAAGAAGATATGGTACTTACTCAGGTGAGAGAAAGAGAGAAATGGGGTTTAACGTCCATTCGACACAAACTAGGTCATTTCAGGACTAACACATGGATCAATTTTATTTCTATAATTCGGTTGTGCGTAGGGGTCTTTAGCAGTGGGAGGAAACCGGAGGAAACCGGAGGACCCGGAGAAAACCTATGAAGTTGGACAGGCCACCCTACTAGTTGTCACGTACAGCTGGGGATTAGAAAGCACGCCAGTTGACTCAATGACAGACCTTGTGATAAAGCACGTACATGCTAAGCATTCGGCCATCCAACCCCCCACTTACTCAGGTCCAATTAAACAAATTAAATAAGCTACCTGAAATTGGAATTTTTAAGCTGACCTGTTCTGACAGGAACGATAATGCTAAGTTCCCACTATAAAAATTCATGCTGCGATTGAAATCATGGTTTTAATCGTGGAGTAATCATTGTGATTCTATCAGGTCTTTTCATATCTTGAGGTCAGTCGTAGCAATCGTGTTGATCGTATCGAAACGTATCCGAACGTATCTGCACATACCTGATGATGGACTCAATAGAGACAATCCTATCACAATGCATCGCACGACAATGGGAACCTAGCATAAGCCAGCTTAGAAAAAGGTTTTTTTGTAGACAGGTTCTTACTAGCAAGCCCTCGCCCACCGCTTGCGTTCAGATGACAAAGTTCACAATCATTAAGCGTCTGAATGGCCTATAAGATAAATGCAATGTACACAAATGACTACAGAGGTTGTTTAGCAAGTCATCGTTTTTATTTAAGTTTATCACTTACATTCAACAAGGAAAAACTCACAAGACAAAAACAAGACCTGAAATGAACGCCTCCTAGCGTATTTTAAATGTATGTCATAAATTGAATGGGAGGTGGAATAATAGATATCTTTAGCATTAATAAAATAAAAGTATTAATTTCTTACATTAAAGTAGACAGTGCTGAATGGAACAACTATATAAATATTCTACTCTATTTTTACAATAAATTACATTTACAAAAATATTAACAAGATAAAAGGAATAACAAGTAAATTATCTGAGATTAATATGCAAGAAACAAGCAAGGGCAGAGAGGGAAAGCGAAAGGTG